TTCTGGAGGTGCAGCAGGGACATGAATAGTTGGTACCGATTCTTTTTTCAGGAGCAGCTTCTTAGCAAAACCAGCTTTATACTGAGTCTGACCCTCGTTTATAAAGCAGTCTGGTGAGAAATGATTCGTGAATCGCGCAAACATGAACACATTGACGTTGATCGTGGGGAATATTCCCTTCGAAAACAAAACTCAGCCACTGCATCTTCAGCGGTTCGGATTTAGGAACATCAAAATGACTGCTGTGTTCGTTATTACACCCAAGAACAGAACACCACAATCGCTTAGACGCCATTCTGCTCCAGCGTATCAACAATGACGGACTATGATGACATCTCGCTCAGGGCGAGGATGTGTTGAAATGCTGCTGTCAATCAACAATCGTGGGAGGGGCGTCCGATTTAGTGATGTCACAAAATCGAACTGCTCAATTTGAGGCAGGGGAAAACATATAAGGAGATTAAAACAAAAACACTGGATAGATTTTTATCATTATGGTTGTGTACAGGCACTGCCAACACACATTTCAGTACAATCAACTTGAGAAAGTGCATGTACCATTATATGACCCCTTTAAAAGTAAGTGTTGTAAGTGTTGCCCCCCCACCCACCCCCCCCCCCCCCCGAATATCCGTTTTCAGTTCATGGCTACATTGTAGAAATAAAGTGGGTTGCGAATGCTATTTCATGATGTCAAATGGAAAATTAAGACAAAAAAGACACCAAACCGCAGACATGAACAGCTGACACACTTGGCCTGAACTTACTGGCGGACTCCAAATCCCAGGTGCAGGGTAAATTTAGGCACTGAGGCTTCTCTCACACCCATCCATCCCATGATCTCCATCGCCACACACAGATGGCCTTGTCTGACTGCTTCAGGGGAGTGGAGGGCAGGTGACATCAACAGCCGGGCCAGGGAAGAGAACCCAGACACGCAGGGTGGTTTGAGGTCTTATCAGGGTCGGATGAGTCATGAGAATGGCAGGCAATTGTGCGATGGGCAGACGATGACACGGAGAGCGGTCAGAGAGCATCAGTTTGACTGAGCAGACAGGGGAAAGCAGGCGAGAGAAAGTGTCCTGCTCAACTGCAGGACAAAAACACTGCTGCATCAGACACTGGCAATGTACCAAATGACAGTCTAAAGGCACGGTTACATTTACTCTTGATCTGCGAAATTTTGCATTTGAAATTCATTTCAATTGGAATCTGCGCAATCTGGAGTTTAGAGTGAAGGCGACACATTAGGTTCAAGTTGGTCATGCAAGTTTGCCACACTGAACAACAGAAATTTTGTTTGAAATTGAGTTCTGTGTAAGCTGTGTTACATACATCACTACACTATTGACAATCAATAATGGTCCATTTTTGCTCATGAAATTTCGCCAAAATTTCAGTAATATGACCACACCTCAAAGCAAAAAAAAAAAAAATCAAAGTGTTCTTATGGGTTTGTGAAGTAGACAAACTATTTAACTGAAGTATTAAACTTTGGTGTGTTGTTCGCCCTTCACTGTTTTTGATACCTCAAATAATACAGTTTTTTGAGTAAAGATATGCTGTTTTCTAAAAGATTAGACTAAAGCTTTAATTTAGTTTTAGTGATTAGACTTACATTTAACTTGGAAAAATAGCTCAGCATTGTAAATAAATGCTTCCAATCTTACCTGGATACATACAATATACTTAATTAAGCGGTACTCTATAGCAAATCTCAACTGCTCGATTGTTATATTGTCAAAAAATATAAACTGTATTATCGCACAGCTCTTTATATAAAATTGGATATAAAATTATATTTTTTTCTGTATCACTTGCATAAATTGATGTACTATATCACAACTGCCTTTTTTATTTTTTTATTGCAAAATGTAACTATAAATGCCCAGCTCTTTTCATAAAGGTAGACATATTCATGTACATACAGTATTCACATAAAGCGATACATACTGTATAGCATATCTCAACTGCTTGATTGCTTGTTTATCGTCAAAACAATTAAACAATTTTATCGCCCAGCTGATCTAATCTGCTAAATGCTACAATGATTGAATGTCTTAAGATATTATAAGACTTACATTTTATTTTTGTAAAGCTGCTTGGAAACAATGAATACTGTGAAAAGCGATATACAAGTAAACTTGACGATGTTTTTAACCTGCAATGTTTTTAGCGTCTGACCGTATTGTAAAGCAACTAACCACAAGTTGTTTTTATTTTACTTTTTGGTGAAGTTAAATATGAAATATGAAATTGGACTGGCGAGAAAAAAATATTGTGAGGGTGTCTTCATTAACGTTTGTGCAAAAAAACTGTACACAATTAAAAGATATAGAGAACATAAAGAAATGTTGTGATATGCAGATCGGTTTGTTCTACTAAGTGACTGCAAAGTGATTTGAAAGCCACAAACCTAAACACCCTAGCATTATGGCAGCGAGTTTTGCACACAACAAGCACCACTCACATTTTGTTCAGAAATGGTACAAATCTATTGCAATGCACAGAGATAATAGCAGCAATGTCAGCATGGCTCAGACTTTGGTCTACATTTCTAGATCATCCTGAAATTGAGTGACACGCCTGGCTGTCTGCTCAGGACAGATAGATGGTTGTCTGTCCTCAACCAGACATTCAAATGTGTTTGAGTTTGTTTGGCCATTGTGTAGAGACTGGCGTCTTAAACATGGTGTCTCATTTCCCTTGCTGGTGATCAAATCTGCGATTAACGCCACAGACGAGACAGTGGCCAGCTAACAGCCTGATACAAGCTTGCAGAAATCCCGCCTGCTATAATGGCTCTGAAGTGAATGTTTTATGGTAGATGTTATGTCATCCGGTGCGGCGTCAGGTCACGCATCATGAGTCTGGGTAGATTAGAGACATGTAAAACTCTATCACAGCATCCCTGCCCTCTTTTATTCCGAGCAGCCTGCTGAGCAACTACCTCGTATGTTCTCTTCCTTGGGATCTTTTAAATGCACCTGTACAAAAGATTAACAAAGGCTCTTTTTTTTATTGGAGGGAGAAATTATGATGACCTTTACAATGAAAGAACATTTTTATAATTATTTTATCGTACATGTTATCTTTTCAGTGGTGTTGGTCTTATCCTTAAAGGGTTAGTTCACCCAAAAATGAAAATTATGTCATTAATGACTCACCCTCATGTCGTTCCAAGCCCGTAAGACCTCCGTTCATCTTCGGAACACAGTTTAAGATATTTTAGATTTAGTCCGAGAGCTTTCTGTCCCTCCTTTGAAAATGTATGTATGGTATACTGTCCTTGTCCAGAAAGGAAACCCAGGCTGTAGGACAAAGCAGAAAGTATACTTCGTTTTTTTTACGCACAGTCAAACGCACAGCTTTGCAAAGTATACTTTATTTGACTTGTACGCGTACAATCTGTCGCCACGAGTTATAACCCATGTAAATATCTTTGTATTCTTTCATGCTACAAATGATCGTACTTTCTAACTTCTTCGCACTATATCTCATCTAGGCCTCCATTGCCGCTGTAGCTTGCATGCGTTCCAGTCTGTTCTGTTTGTGCAGTTTTTCTTCAACTACCTTGTGAATCGAAACCCCCAGGGCACGGTTGGAACCTTGTGGATAAACTAATTACTGCAAAAAAAATGTAATGCGCATGTGCGTCCTGCACGTAAAAATCCGTCGGTGCGCTTATAGTATGCGCGTACTCTTCTTATGATGAAATTTGTCACGCTGACCCTCGTGTTCGTGTAAAAAAATACTTTGGCCTCAACTGTGCACAGCGGGAAATATGGATTTAAAGCGAGTAAATGTAAAAGAACTACGTCAAATAGCACAATAGCCACATCCATGAGATATTTCAAATTTAGATGAAAGGTCACTTTCAAACGAGTGTGAAGTTATCATTTTCAGCTCAAATGTTTTCTGTTTTAAAGTTTTTAAGTATTTATCATAAGTTTTTTAAAAAAATGTTTTTATTACCTTATTATTAAACAAATTATATAAAACTATGTTGTCAGTGCACTACCAATAAACTGGTTCTATGCCTTTATTTTGTCATTAAAACTGATAGAAACAGATCCTAAGTCAGGGATAGGCAACATCGGTCCTGAAGCGCCGCTGTCTTGCAGAGTTTAGCTAATCAATGTCTTCAGGATTACTAAGGCTACAGGCAGGGTTTATTTTTTTTGAGTTTATTTGAGTTTATTTTTCCCAGGGTTTTTTTTTTTCAATTGCCAGCCTCTCCAAAAATGACCTAACTTACCTTTTAAATGAAAAGCTATTTCAAAACCTTAATAAATACAATATTGGTATATAAATAGTACTAAAATAACTCTGGCCAGTTACTCACATAAAGCAGGTAATAGGTTTATGTAAACATTTTTAATGTTTTTAAATATTTCCATTGCTACCGAATTATCAATCACATAATTTACAACATTTATTTTAATGTATATTTTATTTTGTGCTATTGTGCTGACACTAGAATATATAAAATAATGAATATATTCAATAATATTTCATAATTATTTGTTATCAGTCAAAGGTGTTGTCACTTATTGAAACCATGGCCTAGCAGTTAGATCAGCATAAAACCTGTGCACTCTGAATCCCATAAATTGTTTAGAAACCAGCCAGTCAGATTGGAGCTTACTGTTTTAGCCAGCTCATACCATTTTTGTGTGCAGTATTCATCAGACAGTCCGTGAATGGTCTATGGGCGTACCGTCTGAGGTTTAGACTAGTCAAAGAAAGAGCAACCGGGTCGAAACGTTTCACATGCGCTATAAAGTTTTGAAATATCTCTTTTATCTTAGCACTCCACCCAAAGCCAAATTATAATTGTTATTTTCCTCCATGTGGTGCATTGCATCAACCTGCATATACTTAATTATTCAGTCTGTCTGGTATGTGATGCCTTCAGTTGTATAATAGTGCCGCATTGTGTTATAACAATCCTAACCATCCACCCTTGAAGGCACATTTTTCTCTTTGTCTTACTGCAGAGTGCAAGTTCCACTGCACCAATGGCAGATGTCTGAAACTTCTCTCGCTGATTTGTAATCATCTGAATGAATGTGGAGACAACAGTGATGAGGAACATTGTCCTGCTGCTGTACCTCCACCCCCAGACACCATCCAGTGTAAGTCCATCCACCCACTTCTGTCTCAACACCACATCTGCATCTCTGGCAGGTGATATTGCATCAGTGTTAAGGAAGCTACTGTAGAAAACTTCTCAGAATTAATGCTCGGCTAACTGTTAACATTTTAGAAAAGACGGCAGTAAACTATCCAAAAGTAATTACATTGAAGCGAGTTAAATTAAAGGGGTCATGACATGAGATATCAAATTTGCCTTAATCTTTTGATTAAAACATCCTGCAAGTTTCAAAGCTTAAAAAGTCATCCTCATTATTAACAAAGCATTTATTTAATCAATGTTTTAATACACATATTATTTACACTAAACAAATAAAAATTACCCTAATTTATACACCCGAGTTGACAACATAGTACTAAACAGTAGTATTTAAATATTTATTTCACTACAAAAAAAGATTTGTTGAATATATTTTTCTTTGAACCAGTATATTATGATAGTCCAAACTAAGCAACTGAATCAGACTTCTCAATGCTATCGGAGAGCGACAGACTACCAGAATGTTTGATTACTGTCACAATTGGTTGCAAAGCTGAGTGTGTAATCTAATGTGACATAAAAACAGCAATATAACACTACTTGTTGGAAAAAAAAATAGCTTGTTACTGGAAAAGCTGCACTATTATGAAAACAGCTGAACTGCTGTTATACTGAAAAAATGTAGTTAGGTTTCTACTGTCGCCCTGATCTCTTTGCTGTGTGTTCCCTACTGCTGTCTTTGCTGGTCCATCTTGCTTTATTGATATTTAGTACAACAATATGCCAAGAGAGGTGTGTGGTACATTTGATTAAGTACAGTTAAGGTCCTTGTCCGAAATTCGAAAATATTTGCACGTTAAAAAGTAAATACGACCTCATGTTGTGTCAATCACGTTTACACACTGCCTGTGAAACTTTCGTCCGTCATAATTTTTTTTGGATCGGGTTCGATTTTCTGTGTTTTTTGAGAGGTGTTTTGACAATTCAGAGCCACCGAATGACGAATACAAAAAACCGCGTGTGAAAATTTCGGACTCAGTGTGCAAGGACCTTTAGGCTATAAACGTGGTATACTGTATATAGAGTGGATATACTGAGAACGTATGTTAAAGAAAGTGGTTTATCCAATCAGATTTGACATTTGAACTATTTATTGGAACTGCGAATCATAAATTACTTTATGATTTAATCAAATAATGCCCTTAAATTTGATCAGTGTTCTCTTTCAAACATTGTTCAAGATTGCAGTCTATGTATACTATACATTATGTGCAAAATGTTTTAAAATATAGGCTAAAGGTTGCAATATTATGTGAAAGGAACATTCTAAATAACCAAAATTACCCAACCACAATTTAAGTGTTTACAAGTCAGAAGTAAAAATGTGCTGGAACACACACACATTCCCACCTCTGAACATGTCAACATTCAGTCATTTAAAGCACTGCTCAATATTTTTCTGTAATTCAATTAAAGTTAATATTCATGTAAAACATATATAGGATTTTTTAACTACAGGCAATTTAAAACCCAAATGTGATGTTTAAAAACTAATTATTGACAAATTATTGATGTTTAGAAAAAATATTATTTGATGATTGCACTCCCTTTCTGTTGTAGAAAGTATTGAATTATAACAAAGACAGCAACATTTAATCATTCGCTTGATGTGATGTGTTAACTGGAAATTATTACATTTTAAGAATATGACCCCCCCCCCCCCCCCCCCCTCCCCCCAACGTTTTTAAAAGAAGTCTCGGTTACACTTTATTTCAAGGTCATGTAGTTACATTGTGCTTACTCAAATAAGTACTGAGTAATATTAACTAACTACATGTACTTACTATAGAGTTACGGTTAGGGTTTGGTTTAGGGTTAGCTACTTGTAATTATGCATAATTTACTGTTATTACTATAGTAAGTACATGTGTAACAGTCATCTTAAAATAAAGTGTTACCAATGTCTCTTATGCCATTAAGACTGCATTTATTTGATCAAAAAATACAGTCAAAACTGTAATATTATTTTCTATTTTAATATATTTTGAAATATTATCTATTCATGTGATGGTAAAGCTGAATTTTCAGCATCATTATGCTGGTGTTCAGTGTCACAAGATCATTCAGAAATTATTCTAATATGCTGATTTTCTGCTCAAGGAACACTTCTTATTATTATCAATGTTAAAAATAGTTGTGCTGCTTAATATTTTTTTGGAAACAGAATTTTCAGTATTATTTGATGAATAGAAGGAGAAAAAGAAAACAGCATTTATTTGAAATGGAAACCATAACCATGTAAAAGTCTTTACTGACACTTTTGATCAATTGAATGCATCCTTGCTAAATAAAAATATGAGCAAGTATTAGTGATTTCATCAAATTGATAAGATATTGCATTTTGGAATAGTGTTTGGTACTAAACAGGTGTTATGTTAACGGTTTTCTTCTTTCCTCTTGGAAGTTGAATGCATCTCTATATTTTGACTGCATCAGTGTTGCACTGGTTGTTGTTGAAGGTTGATTATTTTTTTTTATCCTTTGCTAGCAGACTGCGTTTGTGTGTTTGTTTAACAGGGGCTTTTACTGAATCGGTTTGTATAGTTGTTTGTATGACCTTCCCCTTACATCCTGTGCATGAATGCGTTGCTTATAGGTGTCTGAATCTGTGTTTGAATGTGGATGGACGCTATTTGTTGATGAATGTATGTGCTTTAGTTCTCTGTTTTACTCGCATACACACTCTCTTTTTCTTGCATGATGTCACTCACTCAAGGCCAGACAGGCGGTTAACTCTAAAACTTCAACAAATGTGCTCAAGGTTAATTTTTTTTAACTGAATGTATATAAGTGGGTTTAGTTGGTTTTATTCAGCAATGCTATCCACTCTGTATTCTATGGAAGCTTGTTTTATAAAATAAAAAAGGTAATTGCAACCTTTTTATCGCACAATTTTGAATTTCTGACTTTATTTCTCAGAATTGCGAGTTTATATCTCACAATTCTGACTTTTATAAGATGCAATTGCGAGTTCAGACTTTGTCAGAATTGAGAGAAAAAAGTCATAGTTTTTGTTAATGATAACAAACCTGCCATGTGCATGGCTACAAAAGCTGATAATGGATACTAATTTCATTGAATTTCCATATGCATCCACATGATTGTTTAGCTAATATTACCCACAATTCCTCGCGTTTTAAAGGTTTGTGACTGTTTTCTTTCAACTTTATCAGTTGGGAAAATGAAAAGGAATACATGGCAAGGGCTCTGCACAGGGTTTTTGGTATGAAGACATAATTTTATAACTTGTATGTAAATGTATTTTAGTTTCGATTCTTTTAAAATTATGGTTTTATTTTATTTCAGGTAATGAAAATGTTTTCGTATTCGTTTTAGTTTTAGTTTTCGTTGTACATTTTGTTGATGATTATAACTCTGCCATTAACTGACTAAGATGTGATGTTATCAAAATATTTAACAAAATTCATAAAAGTGAATTCACACATATGATATTTGTAAATTAAATCAATTCAGATGGACGAGGGAAATTAAAAATGGCTCTGGCATTTGTTTTTACAGTTTTCTATAACCAACAGAATTTTTTATTTTTTTTTACTGCTCAGCTTTTATTGGCTGTGTCCATTTCCTCCCTCTTTCTCCTTCCCCAGCATCCATCTCCTCATTAGCACTCCCCACGTTGGGATCGCTTGGTTTTGTGTGCTTTTTTTAAACATGCTTTTTTTCTATTTTTTCCCTTGCTGTCTGTAGGACAAGGGCCACTCTTTACCGATGGAACAAGTCCAACTGCTGCACTTAAAATATTTAGCAGTCTGGGCCGCATGTTAATGAAAGCGTCTGCGGCTGGCTGCTATTTTAGAGACACCTGTGTGCGCTGTGATTGAATTTTCAGAGGCTGAGGACTGCTGATTTTCACGTCGAGAAAGAGACAGCAAGCGAGAGAGACGCAGAGGAGGCAAAACGCGAGATGAACAGACAGGGGTGGGGGGTGGGGTTGGGGACTGAAAAATTATTTCAATTCTAATGGCTACGGCGGTAGTGTAGCGTTCAGTCAGACAGATGGATCATGAATATGGTCTAGACACTTGGTGTCTGGGTGAGTCAGGGGGGGCCCTGTGCGAGAGGGGTCTTCACACTACCCCACCCCCACATACACACACACACACACACTCTGTGAGTTGAGAAAATGAAAGCGTTTTCAGGCAAAAAATAAATGTTTGTTATCAAACGCTCATCAGACAGACAGGAGAAGGATGTGACTTTCAATATCACAGGGGGTTTGGATTCACTGAAGAGCCACATGGTGGAAACAAACAATGTAAAATGATTGTTAAACAACATTGTTAAACATAATCCCTATTTTAAATTCTATCATCATTTACTCTCTATCAACATCACCCTCATGCCGTTCCAAACTTTCTTCTGTAGAACAGAATGATCAAGTCATGTCACAATACACATTGTTACAAAGCAGCTTGACAAAATCATGATGCTAATGTTTATAATATCTTAATATCTTCATGCCTTATAGTTGTATTTAGCAAATTAGAGCTGTGTGATATAGTTTACATTTTGCAATGACACAAGCAATCAAGCAGTTGAGATTTACTATATAGTATATAATGCTTTACGTAAGAATACTGTATAATATATATAATGTATGTGTGGATAAAGTTGTATATACTATCCAACTAAGAGCTAGGCAAAAATATAGTTACTTTTTGTGATAATATAAACATACAAACAATTACGATATAGTGTATATCACCCTATGCGAGTATCCTGTATGTATATTGAAAAGGTTTTATATACTTATTTATTATTTATTTATCTTTATATAAAGAGATGTACAATAATATAGCTATATTACATTAGCAATTCTGCAATGTTGGTGACAAATTTTGATAACCATTGCCTTTTATTGTATGAAAAAAAAAACCTTAAAATATCATTAATATCAATTATCAAATTTCTCAAAATATC